CTCGGTTTTGCCTCACATTAAAACAACCTTGTGCCACATCCTGCTTTGCAGGGAGGTAAGGTAAATATCCTTGCTTCAGGACTTGCTAGCCTGCTAACTGATTCCCTGTCTTTCAGTTGTGTATTCTCTTTTACAATAAAACTCTCTTTCTTTCATCTACACCCATGTTGCTGTTCCTTTCACTTGAGTACCACCTTTTGTCTGTTTGTAACCTTCTTCAGGATTTAAAAAATGAATTTGTTTAACTCATAAAATTTATATATACCTTCTAAATTTATTACAACATGCAGGGGTATGAGATCAAGTTTAGCTGCTCTTAGAACATAATTTATTACCAAATTTTTTTTTTTTAATGGGAGTTGATCACTTATGCAAAATTCAATATTGCTAATTGCAGAAATAATAATATGAATTCTCTTAATAATTGATGTACAAAACTGTTTTATTAACAATAATTGAGTCAGTCATCAACTCAAATTTGAAAAATATCAGAAAAATAATCTGTAAGCTTTTCTCTGTGTGTGTTAAAGGATAATATTAAAATATGTCTATTTAAGTGTATGCTGAAAATATATACATTTTCTAATCAATTTGTCACCATGTGTATGTGCATGGCATCTGTTGGTCTCAAGTGACCATGGATCTGAACCCAGACTGTTATGCCCTTCCCTAGAGCCAAAGTCCTGGACAAGAGTGGGTTTTTGGGGGGTTTTTTTGAGAGAGAGATCAGCAGTTGCCCATGCAGCACACCTCTTCTCTTCAGGCTACTGATGTTGTCCAAGGGAAATGCAGAGGCCAATACAGCTTAGCACTGGCAGCATCGCAAGAGTTGCCAGAATGAACTTGAACATGATATGGGACTGTCTTAAGGACTCTGTATTTGAATTCAGAGTTGTCCTTCTCCTAGCTGGCTATGGAGTTTAGCATACCATACTATCTTATACATAGTTGGAGGTTTTTGATACAGAATGTTTCCTTCTAGACTGGTTGCCAGGCATGACTATAGAACCCAGTCTATCTTGCTATTTATCCATTGAGATTTTTTTGCATTCAGAATTTCCTTTTTGTGTGTGTGTGTGTGTGTGTGTAGATTTATAACAAAGTTCCACTCCTACAATGCATTGTAAAGCAAGTTGGAATGTACCTGCAATTTTCCTTGAATTAAGCTTTCACTCACCAACAATCTAATAAGACATACAACCAGGAACTGACCCTCACCAACTTCCTCGCTCTAGTGCTGTATGATGACATTCTTCTGCTGTGGCATAAGCCCAAGGCAAACGGCATAAAAAAAACGATTAATGGAGATTGCATCATAACCATGAATTGTCATAGATCAAGACTGTAATAAACCAGGGAAAAATGAGGAATAAAAAAAGAAAGAACCAAGAACATGAAACTGAGGTGAAAACAATCGTCCAGAGTCCAAAGAAAAAACAAAAAACTCCAAAACAGGTAAAGGCAACTATGTAAAGTTCTCAATACACAAAGTAGAGCAAACCTAAGATAAACCTAAGGAGCCAAGCAAAACTACCTAGGTTTCACCTAAAATGGATCGTCAGGGTAATGCTGGCCAAAAAGGTAAAAAATTGAACAGAATATATAGCTTATATATATATATATATATATATATATAATATTATAAATTAATTGATTTAAAATGTTTTTTTCGCATATATATATATATATATATATGTGTGTGTCTTCATTTGATACATAGACTAAAATAGTAGCCATACAGTGAGAATCAATCTCATAAAGCTACAGTTAACTCAGATATAATAATTTTATTTGCAAATGTTGATAAAATGTAGTTTGAAAATAACAAATGTTAATTAAAAATTCCTAAGAAGTAATTAAATGTATGTGCAACACATTTTCTTGCTTGACTTTTTATTCCTTTATGGTCTTTGACTTCTTTGTCAGTTGCAAAGAAGAAACAAATTGAGAGGCAGAGTGACAGAAAGTGAACAACAACAAAAGAGAGTGAGAGAATGAAGACAGGTGCAATGTGTGATTTGAGAAATTGTCATTCTATTGCCTCATCTTAAACAGTTTTAAAAAAAATGTTCATTTTGTAATTCTAAGAAACAGATGCTAATTTGAAGCTGATAAAAAAAAACATACAATCTATTTTAAGTACTTACACATCAGTGTGTCTGTATTGATATGTGAATGCATATATACATATATATTTCTCTATAAACTTAGAAATATATGCTTTTTATATATATATATATATATATAGTTTTATCTAATGTGTAATGAATGTGGTCACATATGCCTAAGTAGGGCAGACCTCAAAAAGCAAGACATAAAGACAGTGCTACAAGTTTTACAGTATCTCTACTTACTGTGAGTATAGAAATGAGTGTCTTAGCTGATGGACTAAAATATCATATGAAAGTTCACCAAAATATTACTATGACACTGACAGCAAGAGGCACCAAGTGTTGCCGCATCAGTGCAAGAGATTGTAAGACTTTAGCCAGATTAAAAACCTACATCCATGCTGCCCATATTTCAGGATAAATCAAACCATGACATTACTCAAAAGTGATTTGCAGCCATCATCATTACATATTATTATTCTTTGTAAGTATGTGAAAAAATATGAATTATCCTTATTTGGCACGTCAATGTTTACACAATATAATTGATATTATTTTGATAGAATTTTCAGGATATATATTATTTCACCCTAAACAAGGCAGTAAAGCCACTAAGACACAATGGGGTTACTGAGTGTGAAATAAAAAGAAAAATTTTATTAAGGAGCGAGAACAATAAAAGAAGAGGAATCGAGAAGACAGTAGATAACGGTCAACATTGCATTTAAATTTTTGAAGGTCAGAAGGAAGTTTCATGAATGGGAAGTGCAAGAAAAAAATTATCATTAACCTTATAGTTGCATCTAGCCAATTTAGCTGTAACTTGATGAGACCTTGCCACCAATCTAGTACTGTATAAAGTCTAGGTACCATAGAGGAAAGGGCATCAGAACAATTGCCATGAAAATATTTATAGAAAAGGCACAGGGAAGCCAGATTTCAGTGGTGTGAAAGTGACTGAAACCGTGGTGCTAGGTTAAGACCAATAACATTGTAGGTCGTACTTTGAATTTTATCAAGAATCTCTAAATATGTGGCAGCAATATTCCAAGCATGGATGAATGGTAGACTTATAGATTCTAAAAAAGAAAATTGTCTAGCACAACACTGTAAACCAATTTTTCTTGCACCAGAACTAGCAGTTGATTCAATATAATCTTTCCACTTCAGCAGAGAATGTTAGTCTGAGAAGGTGCAACAAGTCATTCTCCTGGAGATTAGCATCAGCCAAACTGATTGAAGGTAGAAAGTGTTTTCTTGGATAATTAATAGAGAGTTTGGTTTGTTTTGTTTTATGGCATATCAACCTCAATGTGTTATTTAATACCGACAAAATTTTTATTACTGGTAATGTTTTTCTTCTAAAATCTATTTCTGGGAATATTTTTCCTTGAAGAATTATATAGCAGGTCATATTTTTTCCAAAGAATATATACCTGTTTGTATCGCTGGTATTTTTTAAAATATTGCTGATAATAAATTTTCCTTCAAAAGTTATTACTGGTAATAATTTTTTCTTATTACAAAGTATTTCTGGTATTAAAACCTATTTTTACACAAGTTTGGGTGTCAACTATTTGCCCATAGCTGGGACCCTAACAGGTGCTACCACCCCGGGTCAGGGTGGACCTGGGAACACCAGCAATTAGGAGGTGGTTTCATGCTCCTCAAAACCTCCTGATCAGAGGCCTTGCTGTTGGACATAGTTTATCGTCTTACCTAGGACGCGGATGTAGTTTATTGTCATACCCAGGATGTAATTAATAGAGAAGTTTTGTTTTGGAAACATTAAAATTAACAAGCCATTACTTGCCCCAGTTAACATCAGATTGTAGGTAATGATTTAAATCAGCTGCCAATTTGACCTTATTGAACTTACAATTAAGACATTGGTAAAGAGTTGTTATCATTATAGATACTAAGTTGAGAACTAATGGCATTAAGAAGGTCACTAATGAAACTTAAGAACAACATTTAGTCAATAATTCATTCATCACACTCTGTATACTGTTTAATAATTATATCATATATTATGAGATTTCTCCACTTATGTTATCTATCCTTATTAAAAAAAGAAATTTTATAAGTTGGTTGGAAGTGTCAGGTTTTATTATGCATAGTAAATAAATCCAAAATCTATAGGCCATAGAAACATCTTTGGATTAACACATTATCCCATTTACTTGAATAAATTGTCTTACACTTTTACATCTTATTCTAAGCTCTTTTATGTAACTGTCCTCAATCTTTCATTTTATTAATTTTTCTAATGTTTCAACTTCAGCATCAATTGCAGCAATTTTTTGGTTTCCCCACAGATCTTTGCTTGATTCTCATTTTCCACTGTCATATAGATATCTTTGAATGACGGACCACAAGTTTTCTATTGGATTTATATAAGGAGAGGTTGGGAGCCATTCTATAAATTTTGTTTGGTAAGGTGGGTAAGATTCAGCTTTGCAAAATGTGATGGAACATTGTCTTGTATATTCTTTAGCTTAAAGTGTCTTCATTTCAATCAATATGACTCAAAATAATTTTTTTTTTGTCTGAGAACTTAGAATAATTCTCTGCATTTATTTTGATACCCTCATCAATTTTAAAAGGACATCTTATAATTTAATTAATTTAAAAGGGCCTGTAATTTAATTACTGACAATACTAAAATGTTACTCCATTTATTCTATGTTGTCTTGTAAATCATGGTGGTTTACTATTTCCATGAAGGGACCAATTTTTAGCCCAATTATTGGGTTCAACCAATTCATCTTTAAAAAAGGCCTGATGATTGTGTCTAGCATGAAACAGTCTGTCACCTCTGAGTGTAGACTTCAATGCTCATTCTTATATAGTTTAAGTAGAAATGGCAAAATATTTGAACAGTGATAATTAGAAACAGATATGAATAGTGGTACTTGGAGAGAGAGACCAGGATAGATGCAAAGAGAGGTAGAGAGAGAGAGAGAGACCAGGATAGATGCAAAGAGTGGTAGTGAGAGAGACCAGGATAGATGCAAAGAGAGGTAGAGAGAGTGAGAGAGACCGGGATAGATGCAAAGAGAGGTAGAGAGAGTGAGAGAGACCGGGATAGATGCAAAGAGAGGTAGAGAGAGTGAGAGAGACCGGATATATGCAAAGAGAGGTAGACGGAGAGTGAGAGAGACCGGGATAGATGCAAAGAGAGGTAGACGGAGAGTGAGAGAGACCGGGATAGATGCAAAGAGAGGTAGACGGAGAGAGCAAGAGACCAGGGGAGATATGAAGAGTGGTAGACGGAGAGAGCAAGAGACCAGGGGAGATATGAAGAGTGGTAGACGGAGAGAGCAAGAGACCAGGGGAGATATGAAGAGTGGTAGACGGAGAGAGCAAGAGACCAGGGGAGATATGAAGAGTGGTAGACGGAGAGAGCAAGAGACCAGGGGAGATATGAAGAGTGGTAGACGGAGAGAGCAAGAGACCAGGGAGATATGAAGAGTGGTAGACGGGAGAGCAAGAGACCAGGGGAGATATGAAGAGTGGTAGACGGAGAGAGCAAGAGACCAGGGGAGATGAAGAGTGGTAGACGGAGAGAGCAAGAGACCAGGGGAGTGAAGAGTGGTAGACGGAGAGAGCAAGAGACCAGGGGAGATATGAAGAGGGTAGACGGAGAGAGCAAGAGACCAGGGGAGATATGAAGAGTGGTAGACGGAGAGAGCAAGAGACCAGGGGAGATATGAAGAGTGGAGAGACGGAGAGAGCAAGAGACCAGGGGAGGAAGAGTGGTAGACGGAGAGAGCAAGAGACCAGGGGAGATAGGAAGAGTGGTAGACGGAGAGAGCAAGAGACCAGGGGGAGATAGGAAGAGTGGAGACGGAGAGCAAGAGACCAGGGGAGGAGAGTGGTAGACGGAGAGCAAGAGACCAGGGAGATATGAAGAGTGGTAGACGGAGAGAGCAAGAGACCAGGGAGATGAAGAGTGGTAGACGGAGAGAGCAAGAGACCAGGGGAGATATGAAGAGTGGTAGACGGAGAGAGCAAGAGACCAGGGAGATGAAGAGTGGTAGACGGAGAGAGCAAGAGACCTGAAGAGGGTAGACGGAGAGAGCAAGAGACCAGGGGGAGATATGAAGAGTGGTAGACGGAGAGAGCAAGAGACCAGGGGAGATATGAAGAGTGGTAGACGGAGAGAGCAAGAGACCAGGGGAGATATGAAGAGTGGTAGACGGAGAGAGCAAGAGACCAGGGGAGATATGAAGAGTGGTTATTACTGGCAGACAAACAGATAGAATATGAAGAGACTAAAAAAAATCGATTGGAAAATATTCCAAATAATATCAAAAAAGAGTAACAGTTTAATAAAATACATCATATTGCCTCTCCCCTTTTCCACTATGCCATCCTATTTGTTAAGTGATAATGAGCAAGAGAGTGAATGTCCTTCCCTTCTTAACATATTTGGTAATTGGCACTAATTTGATTTCTACAATTTCTCAGATTATCAGAAAATCAATATTCCAAGATGGTAAATCGGTGGCAGCAAAAACACTTTCCAATAAGTATTTGCCAGAGTGAAGTGTGACCCTGAAATAGAATTTATGATGCTGTGTATAGCTGCAGGCCATCTACACTGACAGTCATTGGTCCAATGAACATCTAAATATTCATTTCAAATGTGTTCACTTTGTTTTACATTGGCACTGACTTCCTAAAATTGACTTTTGTCTTTTAAATATTTGTGATATTTATGGCAGCCTATTGTAAATGGGATTTTTTATGACAGATTTAGGTGCTAATAATCTGTGGAAAAAGCAAAATTATTCTTTACTGAGTGCTGCCATTTTATGAAGTTGCAAAATCTATTGAATGAAGCTTGAATATATTTGGTATTGTAGTGATATGTCAATGATCATCTAATTAACATAGCTAAGATAAAGACTATATAAATGCCAAAGCAATAATGGTAAACCAGCTCTCAGTATGCAAAATAAATGACTTCAACTGGACTGATAAAACATAAAGGAAATCCGACTTCATAACAGGTATATTTTTCTAAGTCTCTGTAAATCCAAATTATGTTTTTAAATGGAAATTTAAACTGAGATATGAAAACTTTATAGAACGAATTAGTAAAGTAAGCCTTATCTTCCTGACTCAATGTTTTCCAGAACCGTTATCTGCTTGTCAGTGGGAGTAGTAATTTTATATATTTACTAATAATTTTTTTTTCTTTAATATTTAACACATTACTTATATAGACAGTTTGTCTTAAGTGTTATTCTTCAGAAATATACTGGTTGACTTTTTTTTTTTTTTTTTTTTTTTTGTAAAATAAAATCTTTATTATTATAAAATTTGAACAATGGAGTGTTCCAAAATTATATGCAAATCATGTTTCTTAAATTATTCTCCAGTTGACTGCATGGATTGTCATGAATTTTTTATGAAAGTTTGAAAGCAATGTCATGTACAAGGTCAAGTGGTTCTGCATAATGGTAAACAACAGGCTACCATTTTTGTGATACCATTCTTTTCTCCCATTACAAATTATATAAGCATTTTTTGGAGCAATAATACTCTTCATATCCATCTTAGTCTCTCTCTATCATTCTTCATTCATATATATATATATATATATATATATATATATATATTCTAGATTTAAAGAGGATTTAGGCAATATTCAATGTTTTCCACAAAAGCCATTTGTAAACCTTTTACAACCCTGATTGTGGCAAACAATTAGCTGAAAATTATTAGATTTTATCAGTAATATAACACATGACACCAAGAAATATTTACCCACAAAAAGTACATATTATTTTATCATATAAATAAAACTTTAAAACAATGTCAACTGAACATAAATTCTGATTTTTAACATCATTTCTTATGCTTCTAAAATACAATAATATGTATGGTAGTTAGAAATCCTTTGTCTACATCCAGGTATTTTGGGGGGAAACTGGAAGTTTGAAATTATCTAATGTAATGTCTAATGGTTATTGGAAATGAGGCTGCACAAAAGAATGTGATTTGTTTATTTTATTTCATTCTTAACCCTAATATATGTGCATATTAATTATATCATATGCATTTCAAGATAAAATCTCCTGTAGTGGATGATATTTATTTTATAAGTTGGGCTGTTTATTTTGTATAATAAAAACTTTTAGGCTTTTGAGCCTTTCCTTGCATTGAGTGCTGTAGAGTATTTTGTTGTTATCCACAAATGTTTGTCTTATGTTCATAGTTATATTGTCATCATGATGTGCCAGTCAATGTGAGCATGGATTGCACTGAGTTTCGACAGGTGACAAGTCAGTCGGCAAAAGAGTGGGGTGCATGTGTGCCCAATTTAAACATTTAACATTATTTTTTCATTTTTAGTGTTGGAGATACAATCTCCCAGGAGGCATGAGAATTCATAAACAAATTTTTTTTTAAATAGGGGGTGTATATATATATATATATATATATATTTGGCCATTTTAAACAGTTATTTAACTAAACTTAGCAAAAGATATAATGAAAGTTTAACAAAGGCATAAAACTTTTAGGAGATTACTTACTGTTATGGTCCCCGGTTCCTTGTACCCCCGGTTGATAGTCCAAGGTAGAACCAATAAAGAACTCAAACACAGGTATAGAATAACACAGATATATTACAAACAGGAATATATACAGAGAAGTAGAAGTGTTAGTATGAACAATCAGGTTTAGTAGAGAGAACAATGTAGTCTCGGCCAGTATCACTATTCCAATGTCTTCCAGTAATTGTCTGAACGCAACTCTGTTTCGGACTGCCTCTGACTTGACTCTTGACTTGACTTGACTTGAACTACTGACTCTTTGCCTACTCCTGAGGCACAGTATTTATTAAGTATGGAATAGTCCATTATTATTATTATGGGTAAGATCCCATAACAACTTACAAAACTGTTGAAATGCTTTATGAAGGAAAAGTAACAATGAAAATTACTAAAACTCTTGCAAAAGACGATAGGATGATGAAAAAATGAATCTCAAAATCAGTTCCATAGAGTGCATGTGTCAACAAAGGGAAGACAAGTAAATGTTTGTCCCTCCTGCTCAATAATTATTTGCTGCCATTGAAGTTCAAAATATACCCAAAATCTTACGATGCTTCATTGAGAACCATTTAAATAATGTCTGCCAAACCCATTGTTCACCTTCCCTTGAAGACAAATCACCTTGTTAAAGTTGTTTCCTGGGCCAAAAAGTATTTAAATTCAGATTTTCAGTTTGTGTTATTCTCAAATGAGTACAGGTGGACACTGGATGATTCTAATGGATGGGACAAGCAGAATGGCACCTGAAGGATGACCCTAAGCCATTTTGTTTGTTGCAACAATGAGAAGGCAGGGAATCCATGTTTTGGGCAGGGGCTATTGCTAATGATTTGATTGAATGACTCAAGAAAATGACATTTAAGCAGTGGTATTTATACATGGTAATTCTTCAGCTCAAACTGCTATTGCAACCATTGAATACTTGACTAAATTGGTGTTAAAAAAAAGGTTCAACATGGTATGGTAGCATGTTCACCAGATTTTAATACTATCAAAAATCTTTGAAGGGTCATCAAGTGATGCCTTTATGAGAACAGTAAACAATTTTCATTCAAGAACGAACTTTGAGAAGAACTATTAACTGTTTGTGAAGCTATCACTCCTTATGAACTTCTGAATTTAACGTCTTCTGTGGATATTTGTTTGCTTGAAGTCATCAGAAAAAAATAGAAATTATATCAGCAAATAATATTGTTTTCCTGGTATTTTATTTGATAAACTGTTTAATGCTTTTTGCTCTTCATTTCTTTCAATGTCATTGCCTCCTATAACTTCTAAGTGATTTGTTTGACATGTTTGCATATAAATTGGAATGATTTAAATAATCATATTTTGTCAATTTGTGCATAATTGAAATTCTATATTATAATACAATTTTACATTTTGTGATGTGTTGTGTATATATACAACCTATATTTGACTGAAATGTGATTACTCTATGACCATTACTTTCATAACTACTTCTATTTTATTGATTTGCATATAATGTTGGAACACAGTGCAGACAGACCATAAACGTACTTGCATTAATACTGACTGTATGTATTTTATTATTGATTGTAAAAATCTTTGGTGTAATTAATTTTTTTTTTTAAGAAGGGAAATAGTTTCATGTTGGTGATTCCACATTGTATTTCATTTGATCGTTGTGTGGCTCTGAACTGCAGTTTCTACTCGGTTTTGGTTTGTTCTTTTTTAATTTTAATTCCTAGAAACTTGAGACATTTTCAGGTTGAATTATATGTGCATGTCTGTCAAGACATATTTTAAACACTTGTTTCAGTGTTTGTGTATGTTGTGTGTATGAACACATTGCAAAACTAAGAAAAGAAGCAGCAAATTGTCTCTCTTTTCATTGGACAAAAACATGAATAAATGTATTGAAACAGTACTTGTAAAAACTTATTTTAGGATATTCTCAGAATGGAGTGTAGTTAAAAGATATGTTCCTTTTTAGTCAGTAAAAAGAGTTCTGTTAAAAGAAAGTTTGTCAGTAGAGGTTCTTTGAAGTACATATACCCTCCATACACGCACACATAAAAATCCATCAGGTCAGGTTATAATTTGTTTCATGACCCTCACGTCCATGTCTTTAGACCAGTTTTACATTAATAAATGGAGTTCAATTTATTCAAACACAAGGAATAAAAGAAAGAGAGAGAAAAAGGAAAAAGTTTTAATATGAAAAAGGAGAAAGATTTCAATGTAAGGTTTTTTAGGGAGAAGAGAGAGAGAGAGAGAGACATGTGATGGGGAACAGGAAAGAGAGGGAGAGAAAGGAAAGTGGGAATTAAGCAAGTTGACAGGGTGAACCAGAAAAGATTTTTTCTTCTGAGACTTGATAATTAAAAAACAGTGGAGTAAAGGAGTGATCATATTGAAAATAGATAAATTGAAATTGTCTAGTCATTTTAAGCAGCAAAGCCATCATCATTGCATTATAACTGTCACAATTGCAAATTATTAATAATAATAATAATAATAAAAATATTAATAATATTTTTAAAATATTTGAAATCAATATAAAGAAATAACATTTAAAGTAATTTAAATAAAAGAAATTATGTAAAAAAAAAAAAAAAAATTTAAAAAAATTAAAATTTAATATATATATATATATATATATATATATATATATATAGTCCATAGAGCAGGCATAAAAAAATAGCAATGGAATAATCTGTTTTATGTCAGCTAGTCACTGAGCT